TCTGTGTCCTCTCTAGATTTATTAATCATGTCTTGCACCATGAGCAAAATCTTTGCTGTTATCTGAGTAATTATTTCTGATTTCCTTTTTCCCAGATCCTCTTTTGTTGCCAGTTCATAGAGTCCAGGTGGTTGAGTATCAGCTTGTTTCATCTTGTTTCTCTTTGGGGTTGCTGTAGGTGATCTAGAACTCTGTTTTTGAGGCTTGTTTATGTGTCTTCTCATTTCCACGGGGAGGGGGTGCTTCTGGCACCCACATGGCTCACCTTCTCTGCCCTAGGAGCTTGGGATGGCAGTGCGGGAGCTTCCTTCCAGGTGCTGGGACTGGCTCACCTTCTCTGCCCTAGGAGCCTGGGAAGGCAGCAGGGGAGCTTCCTTCTGGGTGCTGGGACTGGACGAGCTTCTCTGCCCTAGGAGCCTGGGATGGAGGTGAGGAGCTTCCTTCCGGGTGCTGGGACCGGCTGAGCTTCTCTGCTCTAAGAGCCTTAGAGCTTTCCCAATAGCCACAGTGGAGGAGTTCTGCACTGGAGTTTGGGTTCTTCCTTATCTTTTCTTTTCTTTCTCTGATGAAGGATCCAAAGCAGCAGATGATCTATGACCTATTCCAGAAGTCCTCTGAGGAAGATGGAGCTGACATGGAGCTCCTATAGGCCTTGCTTTTGTTTTTAGTAGGAGAGACACTAAGGAGTTTGAAAGTGAATTTGAAGTAAACCATAGAAGGGGAAAGACTGAAGCTATGGAAAAAAGAGGATATATGGCCAGAGCACCAATGATAACCATTATAACCAAAAGCAAGGTGGAAGTAATTGATGTGGACATAAGTATGTCCAGCAGTTTGGTATGAGAAGTTGAATTTATCATTTCATACCTACCATTGTCTGTAAAATAAAATAAGAGGACATTTGCAGAGTAAAAGTAGGAGGGTGGCAGGTTTGGTTGGAATTTTGAAGTAAATACATGTGATCTGAAACAGCCATTGTAGAGGTGAGTTAAAAAGAAAGTTGACCAAAGCTACACAGAAAGAGTGCATTACTAAAGGTCCAAGTGAGATTAGAAGTCATAAATTTGTTACGCAGTTAAGACCAATCTCCATAGCTATGTGATTTTGTCTAGCAAGGCTCTGTAACTCAAAAATAGGCATGGAAAAGGTGGGAATAGTTGATTAAGGATTGGGACTTTATCAGGTTGGTGTGATAAAAGGACAATGGACAAAGGAGTTAGACAGATAAAAAAGAGAGTAGCTGAAGGGAGAAATCACAGACACGAAATAAGCTAATGAGAAAAGTAAAGCCAAGCATGGTAGTATGCACCTGTAAGCCCAGTTACTTGGGAGGCTAAAGTGGGAGGATTGTTAAGTTCAAGCCCAGTCTGGCAACTTAGTAAGACCCTGTCTCAAAATAGAAAATGAAAAAAGGCCTGGGGACGTAGCTCAGTGTAAAGGACCCATGTTCCATCCCCAATACAAAGGGAAAAAAAAAGAAAAGAAGGAAAGAGAGAGGGAGGGAGAGGACAAGGGATAAGGGGTAGGTAGGAAACATAGAAGTCAGGACTTAGTGGTTCCAATGAAGTTGAAAAATATATGTATTTGAAGAAAAAAAATGAGAGTTTCAAGTGTGGAGGTGGGATGCTTTACTTTATAATTTCAGTGCAATTTTGAGTGATGATGAGGTTCAACATGTAGTCCTCAGAAGTGGGTGGATCTGGACTACAGAGGTGAGTCACTGGAGAAGAGGATGTCAAGGAGGCTAGACGGATAGAACATTAGATGAGTCAGCCATGTGGGTACTGCTGAAGTCATCTAGAGTGATGACAGAAGCAATAGAAGCGAGACTATGAGCCTGGAATCAAAATCTTCAATTAATGAGCATGAGATATAATATACGGAAGTCAAAGCTGGCCTAATGATCTATGGCAGCCCCATGAAGCCTGGGTGACTACATATTAATGTTTCACGTCAGACCATAGACTCTTTACCCATAATTTATAGATGAGTTTCTAAGGATCTTTTTTATTTTTTAAAGATATGGTCTTGCTATGTTGGCCAAGCTGGCCTCAAATTTGTGGGCTTAAGTGATCATCCTGCCCTAGCCTTCCAAGTAGCTGGGATTATAGGCGTGTGTCACCCCACCTAGCTCTAAAGACCCATGAGTCCTCTGAAATTGTACAAAAACTTCCCTGTGTATGTATCTAAAAATGTATTTCCTCCCTGTGGAATAAGGTTTTTGACTTTCATCAATTTTTCAAAGGAGTGAGAAATTAAATAAAAGCCAAAGGATAACTGCTCTGAAGGATTTATATAAGGAAGAACTAAGTGAAAGCAATAGAAACTACATGTAGACAGGGAAGACACACACCTATTAATGTAACCAAAATTTTTTCTGCCCCTACACCACCACCATCTCAGCTCAAGCCCTGTATGAGCATCAGGAAGCTGGGCCTCTTTCTAGGCTGTGCATTAAAAAGAACTGATAGGTTGCAAAGATGGAATGAAGGGTCCAGAAGTCCACAGGGAAACTAAGGCTCAATGGTAAAATCTTCAGGTGACAGCTGCTACATATATGCCTGAACAGAATTAAGTGACTTTAAGCTGGCCCTTTTTCACAAGAGCAGGTATTTCAAAAGAATATAAGGAACCCACCTCTCAGCAATATTTTTTGCAGACTGTAGAAACCGTGCCTGGTCATTTTCTTTTAGAATATGCTCAGCTTGGTTGATGAGGACTGTTGACCGTTCAAGACACTGACGACAATTAGCAACCTGCTGTGCCAACTTTCTCAGTTTCATAACCTTAAAGAAATTAGTAAAAGAAAAAATAAGATAAAACATACAGTGCTTAATTAAAAACAATAAAACAGCATGAAGGAGAGCTGCTGTAGTGATTCTACAAATAAGGCTTATTAATATCCCAGGGTCACTGTACTAATCACTCACCTTCTCACCCTACCTGCTACCTCTCTCTTGCCAACCCCTTCTTCTCCAATCTATAGCTTGCTCACTTGCATTGCATTCAATCATAGACTATTAGTTATCTTCCTTCTGTTTGTATTAATAACATTATTTTTTCTAATTATAAAAAGCAATACATGCTTATTCTAGAAATTTTTTAAAATAAAAAGTATAAAAAGAAAACTCTACCACTCAGAGATCACTACTTTTACTGTCAATATATCTTCACATACATGTTTAATAAAAAGTGGGGGCCGGGGATTTAACTCTGTGGTTGTACTGCCTGCCTCGCAAGCGCAAGGTCCTGAGTTCGATCCCCAGTACCAAAAAAAACCCAAAAACAAACATGTTTAATAAAAAGTGCCTCATTTTTTCTTTATTTATATCTGTATTTCTCTAAGTGTATTTACGCATACCTCTGAGTTAACAAATCTGTATTCCTGGGAATTTTAATGCTTGTGTTAGCTGGAACCACCCAGCATGGCACAAAGTATTGGTCATCAAACCAGGCTCCTCTAACTTTTCATAATGTACTCACAGCATGAGTTTATAATCACTAATGTTGAGCAGCAGGCCAATAAGCCTAAAACCATTGTAATTCCATGGAAACTCACACCTGATCTTTTGGACCATGGCTCTTCAGTTCCCAGGTTAGAAATCTGGGTCTCCATTGCCTTTCTCTGTCTCCTTCCTCTTTTATATCTAATAAATTGGATAATTCCTATCATTTTCTTGCTAGCAGTGCCTATTACATTCTTCCCTTCCATGTGTGCTAGCTGTCATTACACTGATTTAGATCTTCAACCAAGAATCATTCCATAAGCCTTCTAAGTTGATTCCCTGACTTTGGCATTATCCCATTTTAAGCAGCCCTGGTCACCTCTGCTGTACCAGTCCTCTGGCTTCCTAAGGATGTTAGTAACCAATATACAACCAACAATCAGGTCAAGGTATAGAACATTTCCAGCACCCATAATCATCATCTTTTTTATTGGATTCACAACACTAGGGTCAAACATTGCCTCTTCTTTGCCTGTTTCCTTACTACCTCATTTCTTCTTGCCTTCATGATCCAAATTCAAACTGCAGTCATCAGGATTAGGCTCTGACGTTTGTAAAAGCTCAACTCTTCCTTGGCCTCACTGAAATGCTATGCTTTACCTTTGTCTCTTTGATTTTGACAGCAATCATTTGTTTCCTCTGCTGGATGATCTCTACCAACTCGTCACATTCTTCCATAAGTTTTGCCTCATGCATAGCAGTATTCACCTGCCAAGAAAGTCCAGAGTATTACACAGTGATTGTTGTCTTTGTCCCCTGCTGGCTCTAAAAGGTTCGGACTGACAGCTAAACATGCACAACTTCTTCCATACCTCCCTCAATAAGATCCACTCCTAGAAGAAGAGTAGAGATGATGATGTTAAAGATGCAAGGACACTGAAGCACCACAGATAGGAAGCTCTCCAGACCTCTGGTAGATCATGATGGTTAATGGAAGGCTGGGCAGAAGGACAGATGAGATGGGGGCATTTTATTCCCACTGTGCCATTCCCTTTACTCCAGCACCCTGGCCTCCTGTTGCTCTTTTGGAAAGAGGGTAAGGAGATTTATTTATGTGAAGAAAAGAGAAGCCTCCTCAACAGGCACAATAATATTAAGATAACACTGAAACAACATATTTTTTACTGTTCTAACAAAATGTTTTCAGTTTTCCCTGTTCCCTTCTAATTTTTAAATATATGAATGCACATATATATTTTCACATTAAATATATAAATGTGTAGCTTGGCATGGTGGAACACACCTGTAATACCAGTTCTCTGGAAGGCTGAGGCAGGAGGATCACAAATTTGACCCTAGTTTGGGCAACTTAGTGAGACACTGTTTCAAATTTTTAGAAAAAGGCTGGAGATGTAACTCAGTACAAAGGTCCTGGTTCAATCCCCAGTTCTATCTCTGTCTCTGTCTATCTGTCTGTCTGTCTCTCTCTCTCTCTCTCTCTCTCTATATATATATATATATATACACGAATGTATAGATTTTTTTCACATAGATCTCATCACATTTCATTAATATTTCTCACCTTGAAGAAAAATTTCTGTCCAGTATCTGCGTATCTTTCCTATTTTGATATAGTAGCTATACCAAAATATCTCTACTGCAATGTCAGGGTAGGACTGGGAAAAAAAGCCACTATTCTTCATTGTCTTTCTATGGATTGACTGTTCCTCATCTCTATTACTCTTGCTATCAGATAGTACAGGGCGCCCAGAAGGGGCTAAAATGAGAGCAGGAGTTATTTGGGTTGCCCAGATACAAAGGGAAAGGAAGGGACAAGGAACAAACATCTCTCAAACATGTAATGTGCCAAGCACTTTATAGATAAATACTTCATGTGATTATCATTATAACTTTATAATATAGGAACCATTTTTATTCTCATTTTACAGATAAGGAAACTGCTGCTCAGAGAATTTTAGTGACTTACTCTATATCACACAGCTATTAAGTGGTAAAAATCAGAATTCAAACCGAGTTCTATTAAGTGAAATGAGAGTTTGCTGGGTGGGCAGACAAGGTTCAGTTCCATTTCAGCAGCACACAGAGCAGTCACACAAGAGAGTACAATCATTTGAAGAGTCTATTCAAGGATCACTTGAGCACAGCTCCAGAAGACTGAGGAACAGACAATGGGTTACTTGAGAGTATCAGAACTCAAGGAGCTAGATGTACTTCATTAGCAAGGGAGAGTTGGCTAACATTCCATTCATTATTTAATCAAAATAAAATGCACTTGCTAGTGATTGACAACCTTATTTTGCTTTATTTTTACTTCCCAGAGGGAATGCCACATGGTAGCATCTACTCTTATTCTGAATAAACAGCCCCACTCTGGCCATTCCAATTTTTTTTAGATTTCCAATCCCTTTCCCTAAAGTGGATCTACCTTTCCAAAACACGTATCTTTACCATCTTATGGAACTCTTACTCATCTGAGAATAAGAGATGCATCTAGTTCTCCTTGGGTCCTTGCTTAGAGTATCTGGGAACTTAAGACACTTCTCATTTACAGTTCCTTTTTCAGGCTGCTGCCTGAAACCAACACCTTGTTACTTGTAATTTTGTCCCTGGAATAACCTTTACACGGCACTCATTGTACGTCAGGCACTACTCTAATCCACTTACATATATCAGTTCTCTCAATCCTCAAAACAATTCTACAAGGCAGGTATCATTATTGTCATTTGACAGATAAGAAAACCTAATCACAAAGAGATTAAGTGACTTGCTCAAGGCTACACATCTAGTAGTAGTACAGATAAGATTTGGATCCAGATAGCCCAACTCTAGATCCACATTTTTAACCATTATTCGTATTGCCTCTTCAATCTAGTGTAACCATATCTCTCCCTGACTTCAGTTTCTGACAATCATTATCACTTTCCCACCATCCATTTTTATTCTGTTATCCCTTTTCTTTAGTCATTTCAGATTCTGTTGTTTTCCCAGAATACAGGGCTTCCGTGCTCTGTGCCTTTGCCTGAGGTTATCACTTTACTAGGAAAGGCATGTCCTCCTTTACTGAACAAACTTCTATTTATCTTTTAAAGTCCTACTCAAGGATCATCACTTCTGTAATTTTTTCTTATCTGCCCATACATAATCAATTGGTCCTCTATATTTTCATGGCACTTTATATATAATAATATTATGTACTACCTTACATCATAGTAATTGTGTTAGTCTGTCTTCTCAGTTAAACATGAGTTGTACAGGCCAGGGATTGTGTCTTATTTGACTTTGTCTATGTCCAGCATAGTGACTGACACATAGTATATGTTAAGTAAATATGTGTTGGGTTGAATTAATGGTAAAAACTGTATTTTTCTACCTACTAGACATTTCTACTTGGTTACTCAAGTTACCTTAAGCTCTGTACACTATATCTAAACATGAACTTGTCATCTTCTCTCTAAATCTGTCCTCCACTTCTGATTTACTCTTTCTTTTTGTCAATGCTACTATTATCATTGCAGTTACTCAGTACAGTAAAACTTTGACTTCTACTCTCTCAGCCCTCATGTAAATTCAAAACAATTTCAAACTCCTTCCTTCTTTTTCAATCTCACTAGAATTCCTCTGGAATTAAGATGAGGATCTAAGCCAATAAAACAATAAATCGAGGTGCTTATAACCCTTTTGAATTATTATTACAAAAACCTCTTTAATCTCCCTATTCTAGAATCTTTCCTTTGCCACCCATCCTCATAATCCTTCTTTTACACTGAAGCCAGGAAAAATCATCACTATCATCATCACACATGTATTAAGCATCCTTGTGTGCAATGTTACACTAAGGCCTTGCCCTCAATAAGTTGGCAACCAAGATGGGGAAGAATCACATATGTATAAAACAAACCACTCAAAGTAGCATAAGTTAAATAATGAGCGAGGTAGGCAATAATCACAAAAATTGAAAGCAAAAATCACAGTCTCAGTGTGGAAATGAAGAAAAGATACATGAATAAAAAGGAACTTGGGTTAAACCTTAAAAGTGGAATAAGGTTTAGATTTTTAAGGCAAGAAAGTGGAACATTTTAAACCAAGCAATAAAGTTTGAATATGATACCATATTGAAAAACTTTATTCTTTAGGCAATATGAGGTCTTTGAAAAATATTTTTGAGGGGAGGGAAGGTAAAATGGTGGGAGGATGCCTACAGTTCACTTGTTTTTAAAAAAGAGGAGTAGGACTGATTTGATGGGAGTAATGGTAAGATTGAGGACACAAGTTAGGAAACTACTATGATATGAAAAGGGCCAAGCCAAGGAATAGAACAGAATAGAATAGAAAGGAATAGAAAGGAAAGGTCAAATATGAGAAGCACCCCCTTGCACAAAAATCTTCAATTAGCCAGCAAGCTCCTTGAGGAAAGATTTTACACTACTTTTTTCCTCCCACCATATGTGGCATGATGCCTTACACACAATGAACACTTATGAAACATTTACTGATTGTTTTAGCACAGTAAAATATCAAAATAAGAATGTCAAACATTAGAAAATATATTCTGGTAAATGTAGTTTGTAGAGAAAATGTAGGCTGAAGTGTGAGAGCTAGGGTGGGGGTTTGGGGACAGTCGCATCAGGGGCTATAAAACAACTAGGCACAATTAGCAAAGTGGAAAGTTGGCTGAGGAGGCAAAATTCCAAACTAAAAGTAAAGCAGTCATGTTAAAATCTTTCCACGTCAAGAAGCAGCCCAGGGCCGGGGATTTAGCCCAGTGGTTTTGCTGCCTGCTGCGCAAGTGCAAGGACCCGAGTTCGATCCCTGGTACCAAAAAAAAAAAAAAAAAGAAGAAGCAACCCAAAAGAATAGGGTCTTTAAGTGTTTTCTGAACAGGAAATACTCCAGGGAAAAACTGTCTTCATGATGTGACTAAAACAACTCAAATTGCTTGGAAGGCACTTGAAAGCCTTGGCATTTTGTTGGTAATCTTTTTTGGGAAATGCAGTAAGGTATTTCACTTGCATATTAACCCTTAGTTGAAAATAACTGGGTTTATCTTTTTTAAGTGTCCTAGGTTGGTTGGTTGGTTTGTGAAAGACCCCAGGTCTTTATTTGATCTTTGTTCTTTGTTTAGGGTTAGCGGGTTTGACTAATAGCTGTATGTCTGTAGAAAAATCTATTCTCCTTTAAAATATCATTAGAGTAATCTTGGCAACCTACATGTGTGAATTCACCTACCCCAAAAAGATTTTTGGTAGGCATGTGATGCTTAAGACTAACAGTCCGAGCCTCATCCTTCCAAGGCCTAAGTGCTAGCAAGTGCAGAGGCCTCCTTTTTAAGTCCCCAAGTGTTCCTCTCTGCAAAGTGCTCTTTTACTTTCTTTGAAAAGGCAGCAAGAATTTGACTTGCACATTTTTTCCAACTGCCCAACCTACCTTATTTCTTGAAGTTTTTTCTTATCTCCCAGCCAAAAGATTACAGAGGAAGACCCAGTCTTCCCAAATTTCCACCTTTCCCTAATAGAAACACACAAGTCATTTGATGCAAGGATTTTACTGCTGACCACTACAATAAATATGTAGGAGTTTGTAAAAGCCACACCCACACATTGCAAAAAGTTATTTTGGTAATTGTTTTGATTTTGCATTGAAATGTTAATGGCCTAGACCTTTTTACACTTAACTTCTTTCAGAGATCCCATTGGATAGTTTTTTGGGAAGTCACTCCTATGCTCTTTTTTAGGAATTTTTTCCTAGGT